TATTGGATATTTACACAATATTGAGTGTGTTGTGCAAACAATAATTATCAGCCAAAATATCATTAATACTCTGAAATATGCATTCATTTTTTCTACTTGAGTAATAAATTGATAACGTAGGAAAATATAATTAAATCTGTCATATATTAATGAACAAATAGGACTATTATCAGGTCAACTTTCTGTAATCATATATCAAAGAAAAATAACAACGGAAAGAGTAAGACATTACATATTCATGAAATCAAACAGAAGAATGTTTTGATATAGATAAAAACATAAAATGCTGTAAAATAAACCTATTTATTTTTAATTAGACGATTCATTTAAAATAGCTGGTGGAAAAGTATGTTGTGGGGACAAGCAAATCCGATTATGGTATAAATATTCATCTATGGCAATGATGTTTGTGACTAAGTGGTAATATCGTGATAATTTGTGTAGCACGCATATGTGACTAATCAATTTCATTCTTAAGCACCAATAGGAAGATTCAGCTAATTAATACAAAAGGAGTACGAAGAAAAGCAATACGAGAAAAACATTTTCGAAACGAATCAAGGACTTGTAGGTGAATACAGCAAGTTAAAGATCATGGTCGGGTAAAATGATGTATAAATATACTATGGTTGAGGTAAAACAAATCGTATATCATATACACGGAAGTGGTGAATATATTTGTAGGAGAAATAGGAAAACGTCTATGTAAAATCTGTGATTTTTTACTAAAGTGTCTCAAACATTCATCAAATAGTAGGAATTCGAATGATCAGTATGATATTATTCTATGTTCAATGAAAACACCACACTTGAGTCCGCTAACTTACTGCTTACATTGAAACTTCAGCCATTGTGATTCCGGTAATGTAAAGTAAAAATACAGAGGTCTGATGAAAGAGAGGATATTTAAACTATACAGAAACGCATCTTCAACCAAATTCGTGCCACAATATGCTCATTTATATGTTGATTTTTGTGTACAAAAATATCACACACAGGGAAAAATACATGGAGTTAGTGGAATAACACCAAATATAATTTACTTAGACGGAAACATAGTATATAAATGTCACACTGAAGTTTATATCTTTCATATTGTATTCAGTCTCTACTGCACTAATGGAGCATATTCCTGCAGCCCTCATAAAGTTATTATCAGTCCCAAACCAGTATAAAATAGGAGAATTGGGCAAGGGGTTAGAAGCCCTTTATACAAGCGCACTAAACAGGAAAATATTTTTTAAACCACTTAAACTTTGTCTTAAGAGTTGAAGATCCTTCATTTGTAGGAGCTATTATGGATCAAGTAGCAAGCTAAGTTTCTTCGGAGGTTACGAGGCAGATATCACTTCTGACTATGAGAGCAACAATCAACCTAAATACATTGAAAGTTCGTATTATGTGGGAGACCGGGAAAACTATTTAACTTTCTAGGTGATGCTGGGAATAAATGAAACCCATTAGAAATAAGATGGTCAGGAAAGATAAGCATCAAGACAGTTGCTGTTGCACTCCGGCCATGAAGAATAAAACACCTTGCAAACGCAAGGAGTTGTACTATTGTTGTCCTACGAAGCCCTAAAAGCACTAGTGGAATATGAATCTCACAGATCTAGGATAATCAAATCATCCTTCAAAGCGAAGAAACAGGGGATCTTAATGAATATCATTCACCGTTATGCTTCCACCAACGCCAACAATGAAAACGACGAATCTCAATTTTAGGAGAGGATGTGGTCAATCGCTGAGAAATACCCAGCAAAGGATTTTTTTATTCTGAAGACAGAACTAAACGCCAATGCTGGAATGAATAACACCGGATATGAAGATGCCTTAGAAGAACAGAGATTAGGAAGAAGGAACGAAAATGGCGAGAGATTCGCAAAATTATGTGCCTACAACAACATGATTTCAGGTGGCAATATACTCTCCCACAAATGCATACACAGAGCTACCTGCGTTTCACTGGGTCATACTATAGAGAATCAAACCACATCATTAAAAAGTTCGGAAGGGCCATGGAAGACGTGAAAACAAAAGAGGAGCTAATATACCTTCAATCCATGATTGAAATAAAACTGAACACCTGCAAGAGAAAGAAGCATGATGTAACCATAAGATACAACGAAGAAGCTTGCGGTAATTTGTGGTAAACCAGAACGAACAGTCAGAAGAAAAGAAGGCAAACTAATCAATGAGATTTAAAAACAGAAAAAGTGATGGGCAGAATATTTTCAAGAACTCTTGAACAGATCAACCCCGATGAACCCACCGGACTTCGGCCAGGATTATACGGGCCAGTATATATATGTTACAACACTAACAATCTGTTAGCATGGTTATTATACAAACCAAGAGCAGCAAAGCATCAGGAACAGACAACACACCGGTTAAAGCAGAAACAGACGTAACTAAAAAAATGCTCCACATCATCTTCAGCAAGATTTAGCAGAAGAACAAGTAACAACAGCATAGAAAGAAGAACGCCTAGTCAATATACCAGAGAAAAGAGATCTAAGCAAGTGTGAGAGCTACAGAGGCATCATCCTACTCTCAGTATCAGGAAAAGTCTTCAACAGAGTGTTGTTAAACAGAATGAAGGACTCCATAGAGGCTCAACTTTGATACCAACAGTCTAGACTCCATAAGGATCGATTGTGTACCAATCAAGTCGTAATACTACGCATCGTTGTGGAATAGTCAGTTGAATGGAACTGATTACTCCGTATCAACTTCATTGACTACAAGAAAGAATTTGGAAGCATGAACAGGATGACACTATGGAGGCTTCTTCGACATCAATATCTATCTGAGAAGATAGTCAACATCATACGAAATTCTTATGATGTATTAAACTGCGAATCGCGTGTGGAGGACAGCTGATAGGCTCGCTCGAGGTGGAGGCCGGTGTTATATAAGGTTGCTTATTCTCACCCTTTCTCTTTCTCCTGGAGATTGACTAGAATATGAAGACATCAACATCTGCGGGCAACCACGGAATTCACTGGACAGCGAGGGTGCAGAAGGACTATTTGAACTTTGCAGATGATTTACCTCTTCTATCTCATACACAGCGACAAATTCAGGTGAAGGCGGCCAGTGTAGCAGCAGCCTCTGAATTTGCAGGTCTCAACATACTCAAAGGGAAAAGCCAATACCCTATGACTGGTAACAGGCGTAAGTAAGTATGTGTTTTTATATTACATATGATCTTAGCTCAGAGAGCCAAGAAGTTGATGTTTTTACGCAGTTTGTTAGATTTTTGATTTTTCATAGAGTTTAACTTGTTTTGTTTTTTGTCTGAAATTACTACACGGAGTTATATATTGATTGACTACAGTCTGACCAAATACAAGTCCGTAAATTTCAATAATTTTTTAAGGATAATGCTAGTAATTAAAATGCATTTTATCATCAGTAAATTATTATATCCTGTCTATTATCACATTTTTACTAAATTCACAAAAAAACCTAGTTAAAAAACCTACAAATATAATATCTTAGTAGCTAAATGATCTTTAATCGGATATGGCAGAGATTTAATTGTCTGTGCTAAATTATGTTTCTTGGTTTCCTGTAAGTTTCGTTAGTAACTTAACTAATGCACTTTTTGCATGGACAATAGAAAAATGAACAATATATTCTGGATTTTAATTTGCCTTGTCTATTTAGTTCATTCTATTTATTCTGAGGAAACGGTTCAAATTTATTTCATGTTAGTATTCGATCAAAACCAATAAATGTTGTTTCCTCCACATTCACCTAGTATATTATATCATATTATTATATTATAATTATAAATAATATTATAATAATAATAATATAGTATTATATATTTATATATAATATAATAAAATAATATGATAATATAATATTATAATATTATTATATACAATATTATAATTATATTATATTATATTATGATAGAATCTTATCTAAATAACTCATAAGATGTGGTTGTGATTAAATTTTTTTATTTACTGAACAAGTAGTCTATTCTATTCTATATTATTTTTATTATAAAAATTTCCCTTCGATATAGCTGTAGTGCCTGGAGTTGTCAGTTTGGAGACATCAATGTCAATCAAAGGTTTGGAGCTGATTATCCTAATTGAACAGAATGGTTTATTAAATCTCAGTTAAATTTTGTTGAAACGATAAGGGAAATTTTCCTCAAGCAATTAGATCTTAAATAGCATTCGTAGTTAGGAAATCTGGACAATGTTTCAGTTGATACATTTTTCTGCTGAAATAAAGATTAAGTTCATGACTAAGTAAAATACCGGGAAACTTTTTATAGAACAGTTTTCAAATGGTGCTGCAAACACTCCAGTAACCAAATCTCATTGTGAAGTCGATTCAACAAGCTACTATTCAAACTATGTCTTACTTGAAGTACATGATGTTTCGTTACAGTATCAGACCAACCAAAACAAGAAACTTAAATATGATGACGTGAATGAGTTGTCAGCTAAAAGTTTCAGTGGAACAAACAAACAACGCTCATCGAATACCATTACTTTAACATATTGCATGCATGAGGATAAATGAAGGGCTGATTAGGAATACAGATGTCTTGAATATTACTTTAGAAAAATCCTATAGAACTGGTTTGAGGGAGGTGATAAAACAGGGTATAAGTAAGCCTGATGGACCTGAGTCTAATTGACATAGAAATATTTCACGTAATCATTCTCAATTTCGCATCATGTCTAATTATGTTTGTCATGTGTTAAATATTCGGTACATAATTATTTCAATTTGACTCAGATTCTGTTGGTGAATTATTCCGTCTCCAAATAGCTTTTTGTTGTGATCTCGAGACAATTATTTCAACTTTCGCTACCATAACAAAGTGTTCACCCAAACGATAAGTTGTATTCATCTAACAATCAACAAATTTTTTGATTTAATTGGTTAAACGATAGCAGACAGGATTTTAAAACGTCATTTGAAAATATATAGAATAAAAACAAAATGAATATATTCAATAAACTTACAAAATACAACCTTGAGGTATTCTGACTCCTAATGTAATCGCATCAGCAAGCGATAAAACTGTCATTAATATGTAAGCAGACGCTGAAAACTTCCTGCATATGAATACACTAAAATTAATGATATTCAATATGAAACCGATGGAACAAATTGTTGTTTGAACAAATACGTAAGCAATAGCTACTATATATTGGTAATCTATTGATGATTTGGTTGATAATGTATTTGTTTGATAAAAATTATTATTATTATGAGCGGTAATTAAGATGACATCACTTGTGTTCATACTTAGTAGACAAGAATTTGTCAAACGGTCGTCTTGTTAGGAAATTGAGATAAAAAAATTACAAGAGTTCTATTGTTCTTCCTGAAAATTGAAATAAAAGTATAAGGCAAACGTAAAAAGTAGCAAATGTTTTATTCAAGTAAGCATAATAGAAAAAACGTCATTTCTCATGCTGACAAGAAAAACATACTTCCGATTGCAAAAGCCATTCTTAAATATTTTTATAATTTAAGTAGATTTCTTCCCTGCTCACTTACTTCTGTTACCCCTAAAGAAGCATAGGACGCTGGGCAGAATTTTATAACCTGCTCTGTCCTGGGCCTTCATTTTTACTTATGTCTAACTGTTATTCATTCTTCTCACGTCTATCTCTGTTTCTTGTCTTAGTGTGTTACTTGGCCTTCCATTTTAGCTTTAGTTTCGGGGATTCCAAGTAGGGGCTTGCCTCGTGACGCCATTGGGTGCTTACCTCAAAGTGTGTCCTATCCACCACCGGCGGTTAATCCAAATTTATTACTCAACAAAAGGAAGCTGGTTTGTTCTGTCTCACATTACGTTGTCCCTGATGGTGACTGGCCAGCGGACATGAAGCATTTTGTGTGGCCAAGTGTAAATTAACACTTGTACCTTGTGGATGATGGCTTTTGAAGATCTCCAAGTTTCAACCCCATGTAGTAGAACTGTCTTGAATTTGTATTGAAGATTACAACTCTGGTATTAGTTGATAGTTGTTTTGAGTTCCAGATGTTCCTCACTTGTAGAAATTCTGTTCTTGCTTTGCCGATTTGTGCCCTCATATCTGCATCAGATCCGCCTTGCTCATCAATAATGCTGCCCAAATATATAAAGGTTTTTACATCTTCCATAGCTTATCCATCAAGCGTGACTTGGTTTGTGCATGTTGTTTCACATCGGAGGATCTTACTTTTCCCCTTGTCTATGTTGAGACTTAGTGCTGCTGAGGCTGCTGCTACACTGGTCGCTTGCTTTGCATTCGTATTTGCGTGTGGGATAGAAGGGCTAGATCATTTGGGAAGTCTAGATCGTCCAGCTGCATCTTAGCTGTCTACTGCCTCAATAGATTTATTACATAACTGTATTTATAAAGTTACATTTGAGATGGCTCATGATTAGTTAAGGAATTTTATTAGTCATCAATAAATGTTGACTTTATAGTATGAATAGTGTATTTTATAATATTACTTTTACATCACTATTTTAATATCCAATGAAGTTTGTAAAGAATTAAGGTTACTTCAGATTGTGGTAATGCGTGTTGTAATCGCGTTTTGATTTGGTTCGTTTAGCAAATTACGTGCATTGTTTTTGCATTTTTAACCGGTTATTTATTCATGTTTCATACATCGTTGTTGATGATACGATTGTTTGTTTACATGACATGATCGACCTGTTGTTTAATATTGAAATGTGCAAAAACATGGAATGAAGGAGAATAATATGAATCATTTTTATTTTGTAGGGTTCTCAGCAGTTGTTTATTTAAAAAATTCAAAATTCTGGTACCGCTTACATACCTATATCATTAAAAGTGGCTTGATGAGATTGAAGGCAATGTAGAGTGTCGTGACAGGAGATTCTCAATCACCGGGTATAGTAACAAGGAATAACACAGAAATGATAATTAACTAGTTATAAAATGAAGTCGTCTTTCTTTTATATAGAAATATAATCGCAAAAATAACACTAGTTGATGAAAATACAAATAAAGTTCAAAATTTAACAAATTTGTCATTTTAAATTAGAGACGCCTGATGAAAACATCATTCTTGAAACAGTTGACAAGTCTGAATCAGTTATCAAACATGAATAACACACAAATAAGATTAAATAACTGTACAACGTTTGGTGAAACGGTAATATTTATCGTATCATAGGTTAATTCACTTGTACTTACAGAGGACAAAATTTTACTGAATTTTTATTGATAATTTATAAATTTCACTCAATTAAATTAATTCATTATGTATAGGTTTTTTGGTCACATGTATAGATATTAATTTAAAAAATTTATGTCATTCTTGCATAATAAATAGTACATAAAAAATTAGAACGCTAAATAAACTGTTCCTCCACTCTCAGACTAATGAAAATCAATCAATAATTTATATATATATATATATATATATATATATATATATATATATATATATATATATGAAAATTAATGAGAACCTGAGTTGAAAAAATTGCCTATTCTTTAGAGTTGGAGAAATGTATGTAGCTTTATTTGTTCAGCTACTAAAACTTTTAACATACATGATGTTTTGAATGTTTATAAAATACACGAAACATTCTATGATCACTAATTCGTCAGTTTTTCATTTGATGCGGTTGATGTGTGTAAACTAATTATTTTGACAAACTGAATTCAACTTGTTTAGACCAGTAACCATTACAATGAAAAAATATTAAGCTTTCTTCGAAAATGGTTTGGCATTCAATAATATTTCCTATTACCTTACGTCGTTGGAAATAGCTGTTAGAAAATCCTAAATCATTGTTTCGTCCAGATTGGCACTCGTTAGATGGGAGTGTTTGAAATCCTGAGGCGAATGAGTCTCCATTCTAGATTTGAACCCACTGCCACTACTACTACTGTAGTGAAGGAGAACACAGGTGAGGCAACCGGATTGTATTTAACGAAAACTACAGAGTTACTCAGTAAAATAGGAAAACCATATCGTAAATCGTTAATTTGTAAAATATCAGTTCCTGTTGCAAAACCTCAATCGATAGTCACTATTCGTGCGTTTCATACAAATTCCATTGTGTTCTAACTCTTCCTTTCTTGATCTTCCCCCATCTTCTGCTGCCAGACATTACGTTTACACTCACGTCATATACTACTTATAAGTAGCTCACACCACACTGCTACTACTACTACTACTACTAATACTACCAAATTCCAAACCCTATTTTCTTTAACAGTAGGGTAAGATCAATGAACTAAAATAAATTAATAAAAGATACAGTTTAAAATTAAGCTTCTCATGACCTATTATAAGGAACCGGATTTAAAATGAATGCAGCTCAAAGCAATAACTTTTATTCTTACTGCTCAATGTTTGTTAACCTTGATGTTGCTTTTGTTTTTGCTGTATCATATATCTTTTTTCAGAAGAAACCTAATCAGGAAGTGAAATATTCCTTTTAAAAAAAATTAGAATATAATTAATGCGTTTACTCTTTCTTACTTAAATTTGTTTGATCGAATCGGTTGCCAGGTGACATTAGTAAAGTCGATTATTGACAAAATGTTCTTTTTAATCACTTTCTATTTTGTGCTTGAATACATTTAGGTGATTTTATATTTGGTAAACGCTTTTGATATCAAATGAATAGTATAAGTAAATAACTTCGAGATATTTAAAATTAATTGATAATACAATATTTTACGAATCACAATTTTCAGTAAGCACTCTTAACACCGTATTCTTTGTAAATATATATTTTACAGATTTAAAAGAGATTTAAATGAAAAACGATAAGTCATGAAGGCCAATAAAAATTCCTATTTTGCTAGTATCACATAGATGTTAATTTACATTTCTTATGAACTAATCGAGACTGATAAGTTTCAAATGTTTTATAATGAAGCTACAACATATTGTATTTCATTGTCTATGGATAGTTCAACTGATAGTTTGCATGAGTAACTCGAGCATTTCTTACACATGCATGACAGTCACACATTTTTACTTGGAATACATTTATTTTGTTAGTGGACTGGAAGGTTCTGTTTGATATGTTATGATTTGTGCGAACACAAAAAAATAGATCAAAATGTTAAATATTTGTTATTGGCAACGAAAATTGAATAAATAATACAGAAATTGAAACTTGGATATAATTCTAAATTTTGTACTGTAGTTTCTTAGTTCATTTTACAATAAAGTGAGATGTTCATAAATTTTTACAAATTTTTATGTTTATACATGTTTTGTTGAAGACGATACAAATATTTTGTTAAATAATATAATTGTCTAAACAGAGCTTATGCGATAAAACAACTTTTTCATTGTGGAGAAATTGTCGATACGTCCGATGGCTCAATATTTATATGTCTTGGAAAATGGTCTTTATCAGCATATAGGGGTTTTTGAGATTGTTGATCTCCATAGTTTACTTCATTGATTGATCTTAGTTAAATAACCAAGAAGGATTGGATGGTTAATGGTAACGGAAACTTATGCAGTACTTCTTGGTTTTCAATGATTGTCTAGCCACGATCAGTTGGTGATAGGAACAATGTAACAGAATTTAGATGGTAAAAGGAGGTCCATAGTAAACTGAACCTACTATCAAATTTCCATTGCTCTTGTGCTCTTTAGTCATAAGATAGAACATTTTTTAATTAACATGGATTTGATTAGTTATCAGGAAAAATCCATATAATTCACAATGGATAGAACCAGAAGAATAATTTAGGAAGAATAACATGAAATCATTTCATTTCGTGGTTTTCATCAGCTACTATGAGCAAAGCCTGGAAGAAGAACCGACCTTCATTACGACCTGTCTACATAAAAATTCATGCCTACCGAAATTCAGTAAGAAGTGTGTAAACTTATCTTACTCTTCGAGTATGATGCAGCTTCAAAGGAGATTAAATTCCTGGAAAAACTGACCAATGGATAAGGCCGCGATGAAGATTGCTTATACATATTAGCAGAACTTTGGACATTATCTTAATTGAACCATTCCTCTTCAAATGAGTTTATCACTTTACATGTACATGCTAAAGCACATACAATAGAGGGACCGAAAGAATACTGTATGTTTGCATTTGCGAACATATTCCTAAGAATCTGAGATTGAGAGTAGTAGTTACTCTAAATAGAGCAATAGCTCGGTCTTTAATTGATGCTGTGCATATTATTGACGCTCCATTCAAAATTATTAACAGATAGACAAAACGTAGCGTCTCTTCGGTTCTTAGAAGCAGTGGAAATTGAAAAAGAAACCTGATTTATATATCCGTAAAATCACGGTTAACAAATTATCATTGGTAATAAAAGTTATTATTATCATTATTAGTGTTTGTTTTGTTATGCGATCTC